TCCCATCACGGCGGGCAAACCCCCCTCTAGAGACCAACGACCTCACATCCATGGTTCTTTCATGCCAACGGCAGGGCTGCTAGGACTTCACTGCATGTCTAGGTCACAGAGAGCAGGACTACAGTGTGGAATGAAGCGGGCAATCCCCCAGGGTCCCATGAGGGCAAACATTCTGACCTTGACCATGGCTGCCATATAGGAGAGGAAGCTGAGGAGGTGGGTCATGGAAACCTCAGCTTGAGAGGAGCCCTGGGAAAGGGAGGGACGTGGCTCTTCACCTGTCATTGACTCCTGCTGGATAAAGGGGCAGACAGCACACATGGCCTTCCTTTTAAATTCTCTTGACATCTACATAGATACTTTCATGTCTGTAAATCCACCTTCCGTGAAGCTTCACACTCCACATCAACAAAACTCCTCACCCTGAGGGTACCGCTCCCTTCCTGTGGCAGCATCCTGTGAAATCTCATTGCTCAGGTGTCATTCAAAACAAAAAAGCTATCAATATGCCTTAAATAAGGTCAGCAGATGCTGGCCACCAGGACATCCAGAGAGCTCTGAACGTTCTGTGAACTATGTGACGTGGACATTTTTCTGGAAAGTGAGCATAGCTTCCATCATATTCTCAAAAGGGTGTGTGACCCCCAAAAAAGCCTTAGTACCATTGTCTAATTTATTAAATAGTGCTGCCCAGGCTAAAAAGAATAATTTTTTTTAATTGAGTCTTTTCAAGCCACTGATTCTACAGTCTTCTCAATCATCTTGAGCCCATCTGGTGAAAAATCCTATTTACCACCATTCCTATTTTTACAGATTAGCAAACTAAATTCCTAAGAATTTTAAGTTAATATCCCACCTGAGGAAAGCTTACAGGTCAGTGGGTTAGCACCAAAGATGAGAAGGTTAACACACGCCTCTTAGCAATGATCGCTTCCCGCTGTTAACACCACTTCATAGATAAATTCCACGGTCAAGCCTGTGTTGCACACTGTACATACATGGCTTATTTAAACATTGTAACAGCTCTGCAGGATGTCATCTCACTTCTCCACCTGAAGAAACCGAAGCTCAGAAAAGTTTATGACCGCCACAGCTCGCAGTACCGGCAAGTGTCGGATGAGATCTGATTCCAGGTCTGTCTGACTCGCAGATCCTGCCCTGGGATGTGCCCTGAAACTTGGAACCTCTGAGAAGGAAAACTCATCTTCAAGTCAGGGACAGTTTCTTAGACATCTTTGTATTCCCTCCCCACAGAGCCTTACCCTGCTTTGCACGGCAAGGGACTCAATAAATATTTGTTGAATGAAGAAACGTGGGCTTGGGCTCCAGTTCTGCCGCGGACTTACTGACTCAGTCTCCTGCCCCTTGGAGCTGCAGGTGGTTACTCAGCTGGGCAACGTCAGGGAACATTTGAAATCAATTATGGGTGAGGAGGAACCTATTAAAATTTCCTCTTCTGTGTACATTGGGGTTGAAGGAGAGGAAAGGAAGTTGAGAAGAAGGGAAACAGGATGGTTTCAGGGTTGAGTGCGGAAGCTTAAAGATTTCACACGAGGATGGGACAGAATTTGGCTTATGTCCACCGCTGACTTCCAGCAGCCCATCCAAATGGGCTCCTGACCTCAGGCCACTCCTCGGTGGCCACAATCCCTGAACTGCCAGGCTCCTGGGTAGTTACCTTTATGGAGGCCCCTACACAGGAGCACTCTCCCACATAGCCCTTTTCGAGGCCCCAGCTGCCCAGCGGCAGAGCTCCAGGAAACTGGCAGCTTCGAAAGGTCTAACTTGCAGGGAGGGGGCCCAACAACATCACTCCCCCTCTACCGGCCTGAGAGGACCTTAGCACCTCTGTGAGGCGTGCACTGCCCTTGGCCCTAAATGAAAGTATTCCAGCAACCCATCTGGAATCCAACTTCCTATTTTGGAAGAATGTGGGAGTCAGGGGTGGGGGGAGGGAGGTAACTCTAGTTGATTTTGTTTTCTTTACCAGTTGCTACAAGTGCCAATTAGTCACAACCGCCCCCAAAAATGCCACTTTAGCCCTTTCACATAGGCCTTGCAAAAGACTCGTATGAAGCTGATCCTAAGGGATGCCTACCAACATCGCTCTGGGAGGGGGTGATTAAATACCTCCCAGAGGGGCAGGGACAGCCCTCCAAGAAACCAGACTGTTTCCCAGTACGTGGCTTCCAAGGCGCCGCCTACTCTCCTGTGCATGAAGTAACACTGCCACCTAGTGCCCCGTGTGGGAAGTATTCCCCGAGGCCTCCCATCTCCGGGGGATCCCTCTGCAGGGGCTGGTGCCACTGAATCACTTGGTATTTCTGCTGAGAAAATGTCCCAAGTTTGGTAGATTGAGAACCGGCAAACTTACGAAGTAAGCAGAAGCTGAGGTTTGAGGGCTGTTGGAAAAGAGTGTGGGAGCCAAGTCTTGCAGCACTCGGATTATCCTCAGTACTTCCACGGTTGAACAGTATTTAGCTCCCAGGACCACAATTCAATTGTTGTCATTCTGCACAAGAGAAAGCCACCCACCCCAGGAGCAGGCAGGGACCAGCTAAAAGGACCAGTGCTAGGGTTAGAGAGGGAAGATGGGCTGATCTGTTGTAGGAGCGAGTAAATTAGTGAATCAGAGAACTTTACTCCTGAGGGGGCCACCCTTGGCCACCTCGTGGTTCTCGGCCCTAGGGCCCCCAGGGGATGCGTACGGAGCTGAGCACTAAGAGTAGACAAGGATGCCTATGTCCTCGGGAAGCCGGCTGTTAGAATCCTGAAGAATGAAGGCCTTGTTCCCAGCCCCCATCTCTCCCAGACTGTTACCCTAAATCTTTCCCGAATATTTTCTGATGTGCACAAATCTGAAGAAAGATACAGCTTGTGAGGTGGAGAGGAGAGAGATCTGAGTAGTCCCTGCCCTCTGCCTTCCCAGTGTGGACCTACAGGGGAAATACCAGGACACCACGGGGAACAGGACACTTCGATTTGGAGAGAAAGACACCTCAGAAGCTAGACTGCAAAAGATTTCCTGCCTAATTTTACACGCTTAGGAGGTTACGAGAGTTCAGATGGGCACTTTGGAGAAGGATTTGAGTGTGTGTGCCGTGCAAGGTGGAGGGACGGTGAGTGGCGGTGGACAGGTGGGCACAGGGGGGCGGGAGGGGGGAGATGCATCAAGGAAGGCTGTAACTGGAATCCAGTCATGACCCTGTTCTCCTCTCTGCAGAGTAGGAGACAGGAGGACATGGAAGGGACAGGACCAGGCTCAGGTACCCGCTGTCCAGAATCCGTTCCTCAGGTTTGGGTTTTAACAACTCAAAGCAATAGTCTCTCAGAGCCTCCCTCCTATATTCCTGCTGGATCTTTCTCTGATTCTTCAGAGCCAGGGAACTGCAAGAGGGGGGATATGCAGAGTCGCGGGTCCTGGTCTAGACTGCAAGCACACAGTTCCCCTGGCAGATGGGTACTAGGAAGCGAGATTAGGCAGCAAGAAGATGTCATCTGGGAAAAACTGTGAAGCTGCCAACTCTGATCAGATAATCATCTCATTATTCCTTCCACTTGGCCCTGGAATAAGGATTTCCTTCCACTCCTTCTCTGCCCCCACCTACCTTACAGCCCAGCCCTTTCCCTGTCCCCTCCCTTCACCCCTTCTCCCACCTCAAAATAAAATAAAGCAAAACCACAAGACTCTCGAGCTCTCAGTGTCCGGGAATCCCAGCTTCCAAAAGAGAAATCGCAGCCAAAGATGGGGAGCCGGCATGTCCGGAAGGGATGTTCCAGCAACACCCCACAGCAAGAGGCTCCCTCCTTCTAGGTTTCACTCTCTAGTCTGAAACTTATTTGCAGACATCCAGCAACCTGAGGAGTCTTCAATACAGGGAGCTGTCGAGCACTTAAGGGGCTCAGGAGTTCCACTGCCAGTCTGCCTCTGAGACACCTCTCACCACTTAGGTTTCCCCGTCAACGTCATGGGACTGGCAAACATCAAAGGGCGCTGTGGATAACCCGAAGTAATAAGATTAAAATGGTTCCACCAGGTGTCTGGCCTGGTGTGAGGTTCTGTCATGGGCGAATCCAAACGGGTAATGAGACATGGAATGATGGAGGCTCACTTTTAACCTTCCCCCCCACACCTTGCTCGAAAGCAATCCCCCACCCTGCCCCAGTAAGGCAAGGGAGACAGCTGTTCCGAACCCCACTCTTTTCTTTGTCCTTCTGGGCGGCTTTCCATGAAAGCCAAGATCTGTGCATCACGGAAAATGAATGTGAGGAGGTTCCCAGACACTGCCCAGACGAAAACCATAGTTATACAGGGTGCATTTTTAGGTCCCTTTTACAATAGCCAGGGCTAGAAATCAGGGTCCTGGTTTGTGAGTGCCCACCTTTTCCAGTAGACCCTGCTACTCCTAGGCTGGACACATGACTGTGAGGACAAAGCAAAGGGGACTCCAGGATCTGGACAAGGTAGTAGCTTCCTGCTGAGTTCCAAGGGCTGCTCAAAGCAAAGGGAGCCCGTCAGGACCCATTGGCTGTGTACCTGGCTGCCTGGCCCAGCCCAGGCGTGACTCACCACCCAGGTCTTTACACTTTTGTGTAGTTTCAGAGTTGCCTAGGTATCTCACACTGGACGATGAGAAATGGAGTGTGACACCTCTCTTCCATTGACAAAGAACCAGAGCTCTTCCCCTTTAAAGAGGGATAAGAGAATGCGCTGGAGGTCTCCTGAGTGCCAGAACAACGTATAGAACCACAAGCGATCAATACAAGGGACAAATGCTCTTGTGGTTATGGAGTCATTAATGTGGACCATGTCTGGGATCCTGCTGCGCAGCTGAATAAAGGCCCTTCCCCCTCTCTGCCTGGCCAGCCCTTCCTGGCTCTCTTGTTCTCCCCTCTTCCTCTCCTTGCCCCTATGTATACCCTCAGACAAAAAAAAAAAAAAAAAATAAGAAGCCAGCCTCACCCCGCAGACTACGGAAAGCCCAAGAGTGGGTGATTACCTGCGATGATGGCTGGGCTGTTCTGTCCTCCCTCCGGTTTCACCCAGGCTTCCACTGTGAACGCCTCCCGGGGAGTGTCAGCCAGCACTTCTGGACGCAGCAGCAGCCGCTCCCGCCTCCCAGAGAAGTACAAGACAGGCAGTCCTCCTTGGGGGCCAAAGGTCTCTGCTTCCAAGTAGGGGTCCCCTCCACCGTTCTGGATGCTGCCCTCCGAAGGACTGGTTCTGACCCCGTGCGACAGGAGATGCTTAGGCCAAGGTTGGAAGTGCCGGGGAGCAACACTGGGGTCTCCCCGAACGCCCCTTGCCTGCCCCTTCGCCACCTGGCGACGCCGTCTGGTCTTGGTTCTGCCCTTCCTTCGAGTCTCTGGTCCAGGTTCTTTCGGGCGAGGAAAGGTGGACATGATGGCGGCAGCCGTGGCTGAACGTTCCTGAGTCCCAGCCTCACCTAGAGGCTCCTTGGATCCTCGAGCGCCAAGATAAGTGTCATCATCTCCCAGTAGCTCCATTTGCCCAATAGGACCATCCCCTACCCACGGGACAGCTGGCTGCTCAGCCTCACTCCTCTCGCCTGCACTGCCAGTCAGGTCTGGGGGAACAGAGCTCACAGCCATCCCCTTGGTGTCTGGCTTACTCCGTCCCGCGTGGTGCGCTCCCTGCTCCCCCGCTGGGTAGGGCCTCAGGTAGCTGCCGGCCCTGCTGGGGTAGACCCCAAAGAGGTGATGCTGAGGAGCAGCTCTGGGTCTTCGAACCTTGGCCCCCAGCCAACAGCGCTCTCCTTCCGACACCACCTGATTCAGGTGTCCTCTCTGAGCCAAGGATCTCTTGCGTGTCCAGCCCAGCTCCAAGCCGTCAGCACCAAGCGCCCACCCAGCCAGAATCACCAGGCTTATTCTCAGGATCTTGAAGCACATCATACCTCCCCCAGCACTTTATATAGAACCAGAAGTCAACTTCTGGGTACCACACTGGGATGATGGGGAGAAGAGAAAGAAACAACTAGCAATGGGTTCTCAGTCACCAGGCAAACTGTTTTGTTCACAGGCCAAACTTTTTCAAGCAGCCCCAAAAAGAGTACCTCTTCTGGCTACCTGTGTGGCCCCAGTGCCTCACCTACCGCATGTGATTCCCTCACCCTTCTCCCTGGACCTCTCTCTCCTTGCTCTAGTTTAGACCTTGCAGAGTGAAGTTCATTTCTCTGGCTTCCTTTGCATTTCTTCCAGGGAGCCCAGGTTTCCTTCTTTCTCTTTTTTTCTTTTCCCCCACCCCCCGTCTTCAATAGCCCCTCCCCTCGCTGATACTAGAAGGATACATGGGCGCGAGCCAGGTCTACTCAAACACACGCTCGCTCACAAACACATACCACTCGCCACCTGAAGTCATTAAGAAGAATCTTATCCTCTGATTTTCTTTTCTTTCTCCTTCCCCCTCCCTAGGAGTTACCTTCTCTTTGTAGTCCTTAACCTAAAATACATTCACCTTCAAACCAATTGCGAGAAGAGCTGATAGACAGAGACACAGAATCCGAGGCTTATTATCTTAAAAAGCAAAGAAGTATCTGGGGGCACAAAAATCCCAGCTGGTACTTAACCTTCACTCTCCAGATGTCCTCCTCAGCCAGTCCCCCATCCAGCCTCCAGTCTGCCTGTGCAGGTCAGAAGGTGTCCCTCAGCTCCGTGCGTGGGGTTGCTGAGTGCTGAAGGTTTGTTGTTTTTTTTTTAATCCCCTTCCAACTTGTCGGTGTGCTGCAAGCCTCTGTAAAGTTCTCCTTTGGGGTGCCAGTATGATGTCCTAACAACCTTATGAGTCTCAGAGCCCTTGACTTCACCGTCTGGGAGTCTTGTGGGTCCCTGGGAAGATGGAAGAGAGAGCAAGAAGAAGAGGATATCCTTCAGGGGACCTGTTCTCTCCGGTCCTTCCCGCTCTCCTCTCCCTTTCTCTCTGCCTGTAATTATCTTCTTGTTTGTTTCATTTAAAGACAATGATGATGTCAAAGCTAATAAGTTCGGTGCATCTCTCCACCTACTCCGTGTCCCCTCCTTCCTCCTGAAAACCTCCCCACCTCACTGAGGCACAGGGGACAGACGCTACTCTTGGTTTCCCCAGTAAACATCTCCCGCTTTCTCTTTCAGCAGCCGCAGCCTACACAATCAATAGCCAACAATCAATACTGTTTTGGAGCACTCTTCTCTGTGTGTATTCTCTCTCTCCCTCTTTCTCACTCACACACACACACACACACACGGACTCACACACACACACGGACTCACACATGTGTTGTGAACAGACCTGCTTATGCCTAATAAACCCACCCCAGTCTTTCAGGGACAACTTGCATTTCTTTCTTTTGTTTTGTCATGTACCTCCTATATTTCATTCTTCTTTCAATCACTTGGGATTTGAAAGAACAATACCCCAAATTCACTTTATATTAGGCATTAGGAGAAAGAAGGACTCAATTACCCTGCTGTAAGAAGCATTCAATGGGAATGCCATGCATTTGTACTATGTAGGTCTTCTTGTTCTCGCCAAAGTTTCTCACTCTGAAGTTACTAAAAGTCACCGCATGCTGAGTGAGCAAATAAACAAATGAGATGCTCAAAAAAGTAATACGCAAAAATAAACAGCTAGACTCAAACAACTATTTTTTTATTTGATTTGAAATGAATGGATAGAATGGGGAAGTAAATAATATGATTTTAATGTCTATAATAATGTTTGCCTAGATGTAAGCTATCTCAGAGGGTCCCACCCCCTAAACACAAGTGCCAGTATACACACACGCACACACACACACGCACACACACACACACAGCATGGTTCTGAATTCTCAACATAGGTAAGGATGCTTGGCCATAGGTGAGTACAAAACAGGTAGAGAAATCTATTGGGTTCTTCATTCAATAACAGGAAAAATCACAGTTCTAAAATCACTGCTTGTGTTGCCTACATATAAAATATGCAGCCCACACACTTTGGAGTAAGATCACACTGCCTCTTTTGCCTTGGGTCTCCTCAGCATCTTCTAAACTCCTCTACCCTAGCTAATGACTGACTTCTGGGCTGTAAGAATGCTGTATCCTACACAGTCCATCCCTGGCATGCCCTGTTTCCCGATGCAGCATCGACGGAAGCCTCAGGGCAAGTCCCCAAACAACATATCCATTCAGGCACGTGGATATCACTAAAGAGAAACCCCTCGGTCCTAGACTGTCCTGTTTCCTCTTATCATTTCCCTGTCTCCCTTCACTTCTCTGACAATCCTTTTCTTCCCCCTGAAGCAGCTCAGTAAAGACTGGGGCTTTGGAAGGGAGGAGGGGGAAGACTGTAGAGAAAGGCAGAAAAAGAGGGGAGAGACAGAGACAGGCAGAGACAGAGAGAGAAGCCAGGAAAGAAAGGAGAGAAGGAAGGAGAGGAACCTTAGTTTAAATGAAAGGAAGACACCCAGGTAAGAAACAGTAGAAGGAAGCATCCCCTCCCTCATGCCTCCCCCACGACCCTCAGAAAAAGGTTCCATACCATTCATTTCAGGAAGGAGGGATAACACAGGAAGGAAGAGAAATTCCACCGTGCTTTTCTCCCCCTTCTAGTGTGTGAATGATCTCGCATCCCCTATAGGTCTCTCCTGGCTCTCAGCTGCTAGTAATCCATTCATAAGGTTTCAAGAAGCTACACAAAACTCAAGCTTCCAGTTTAGTTTCTCTCTCTCTCCCCTTCATTCCTTTGCTCACCACTCTCCTTCAGCTCTTGGCAGCCCAAAGTTTAAAAAAAAATGTTGAACCATTTCTGTGTTTTCCTCCTGTTGTAACTTTTGCTGTGACATCATAACCCTGCCCACCAACACCCCACCTCTCTCTCTCCTTCCCATCCCACCCCTCACCGGCCCCAGACCCCCAGACGCCCCCCACGGAGAAGAAGGGCTCCTGTCAGCTCCAACGTGTGAAAACACAAAGCTACTGGAAGGTGCCCCCTTTCCCCTCGGTCCCCCTCCTCTCTTCCCCTCCCTGCCTTACCCACCGCTCAGCCACGGCTCTCACAAGGCTTTAACAATGATCCCATCTGTTTGACATGTGCGGAAAGGTGGGCTGGATTCAAATAATCTGTCAAGTGAATCAGATCAAAAACACAGCAACCCCCTCCTCAATTCCATCACACACGCTCACACAGCAGACCCCAGCCAAAGCAGGAGAGGAGGCAGACTCGCACCCACCCTGGATGCCAGGGAGAAAGGCACCAAACACGCCAAAGGAAACGCACAGTTATATATATGTATAAATTCTGTGGCTTATTTGTTTATGACAAACACCCGCACCCCAAGTCCCCTACGCCTCTTCCCCAAGCCCTGCCACTCCACAAGTGCACAGATTTGAAAGCTGGTAGGATCTGTTTTGAAATCTCCAACGAGAGGGTTTTTCCCCCTTTTTTTCACTCCAGAGCACTATCTGTGGCGATCAGACTCGAGCAGGGTTGCCAGCAAATGCAGGAGGCCCCTTCTAGGGTACAGGCTTTCAGACCAGCGAAGCTGGAGGGAATGGATTTAAGGACACACAGCAGGAGCTGACTGAATTTATTTTATTTTGACGGGGGTAGTTGGGGGAAGAATATCCTTTCTGAAATGCCCAAGGAATGAAGGGAGAGGATATGGATTTCTTAAACAGTTTTTGCAAGAGGAGCGGTGTCTTGTTCTGCAGGTAAATCTATAAGGCAAGAAATTGGAGCTTACAGATAAACAAGGACGGAGAGGGAGAGGGAGGGAAGGGGGAAGGAGGGAAGAGAAGGGAGACAGAAAGGGGTTGGGGAGGTGGGGACGTGGAGAGAGGGGAGAAGGGGAGAAGGACAGAAGGGGCGAGGGGAAAGGAGGAGGGGAAGAGGGAGGAGGGAGGGCAGAAGGAAAGGGGAAAGGAGGGAGGGGGAGGGGGTGGAAGAGGAAAGGAGAGACATGGGAGGGGGAGGGGAGGGGAACGAAGGGAAAAGACAAGAGTCTGGGAGGAGAAAGGACTGAAAAAGAAAAGCAGGGAAGAGAGGAGTGAAGAATGAGACAGAGAGGAATAAGAAAGAGAAAGAGGTGGTGGGGCACATAAAATATGGAGACCAGGAAGGCAGTTAGATCCATGATGGTTAAACATAAAGGATCCAGAGAGGCAGGTGAAGGGAGACACTATAAAATGGGGCAGGGGTTCAGTTTTAGGCACAGAAAACAAAAGGCACACAGTGGGGGGGTTCACTCTTAGTGATCGGACACGTTGCAAAAAGTCAGATTGCCAGGGTTCAACCTTGTTTCTTTAAGGAAACCCCTGTCCCTTCCTCCTTCCCTGCCTACAGCTCTTCCTCCAACCCCCCCTCCACCTTCCTTCATTCACCTTTCTGTTCCCAGCATTATTTTCCCCTGGACAATTCACGAGTAAAATTCAGAACCCACCCACTCACCTCCCCCCACCAAAAAAGCCCACCCTTACTGGCCCCTTTCTTTGCGTCTACCCTCGGAGAGTCCTGGGGTCCTCTTATCCAAAGACTGAGCTGTTTGTGACAATCTGCACTTCATTTCAACCCAAATTATACTATGTTTCCTTTGAGCCCAGGACGTCAGGGCTGTTTTGCTTGCATTTGCTGCCATAGTGGGGCTGGTCAGTTTCCATCAGCATTGTCATCATTATTATTAAGAGTCTTTGGGCAAAGGGAGGAGCCAGTCCACGCTGGCGTCCACCTGCAGTGTAGAGCCACAGTGGGGAGAGAGAGGAGGAGGGAGAGAGACCCCTTAATATGGTCACTGATCCTTTCTGACTTTCTGATTCCAAAATCTGATCCCTTGAGGGAAAAGCTCAGCTGGGAGCCGGCCAGGGAACGTAGTAATAAAAGCCTCCCAGAACACAACCAAATGCAGTGTCTATATATAGGAGCCGGATCTGTTTTAGCTACTTGAAGTCTAAAATGACACCCGGAAACAAACATTTCAGCAATATGTTTATTGGAATCTTATTCAGCTAGTGCTGGAAAGAGTGAGCTTCTCTGAACGAGTTTCACTCGAAGGCTCAGGGTGGTTGCTTTCTGCGCCCCGTCCCTGCTTCAGTGCTCGGAGCTGGGGGTCAGAGGCTCTATCACTCGTGGGGGTCACTTGAGATTCCTTTGGGGTGACTTACAACAGCCCCTTTTTTTCATGGGTGAGGAAGCAAGGGTGAAGTCACACCATTAATATAGCAGGGCCAGACAGGGCATCCAGATCTCCTGAA